GAGAAGTGAAAAAAATGATAAACTATAGGTTAGTGAAAAATTATAGAAAAGCAACGGAGAGAGCTTTAGGAAGGACTTCTAAAAAAAGGCGAAGAAAAGGGGGCGGCATCAAAAACGGGGACGACGGAAGCAGAGGAATCATTGGAAGAACTAGGGGGATTCGGACGAGCCAGTTTGTATAAAGCAGGGGGGCCGAAAGTTTTAGCCCCCCCCCCCCCCCCCACCGCCCGCCCCCGCCTCCCCCGCCTCCCACCCTGCCGCCTCTCCGTTGGGATATAGGCGGCACTTGCGACATGTGCGACGCGCCCCGGCCGCAGGCCTCGGGGCAAGGTGGCACGGCCCCGCGCCGGCCTGTGGATCGCGCCTTGCCAGCTGCGGGCGCGGCGCTCGACGGCTGGGCTTGCAAGACGTGCACGCTTCGCAACGAAAAGGCCGAGTCGCACTGCGTCGCGTGCGGACAGTGGCGCTACTCGACCGGCCCGCCAGAGATCACGCGCTTCACGGGCGGCGGCAGCGCCACGTGAGTGACGCCGCGCGAGGGGGGGCGAGTGGCTTGACCGCAGCCCCAGAAAGCTCCGCACACGACAAAACTCTGGCCGAACCCCTTTGGTGGCCTGTACGTATGAGTTGTCGTTGTGTTCACGACTCTTTTGTGATCTCGACGAGAACAGGTCATGGAGGGCGGGAGCGGTGAATTGTTCCATATGTCTCGTTTTTCTTTTTCAAATGTGTGCCCTTGCGCCTTTGCAGCTCGCCTTGGCGTGGCTTTCGCTTTATGGCAGAACGAATAAAAAACAACCGTTGAACTGCAGAACATGTGTGATCAAATTGCGCGGCGCCCCCAGGCTTGCCGCCCGGGCGCCGATTACGGCGATTGGGCATATGCGTACAAAAACGCGGCTAAGACTGGTACAAGCAATAGCACATGTAGCAGCGATGGCGCCAGCAGCTTGCGGCGCCAAGCGTCCCCCAGCTGCTGCTGCTGCTGCCTCGCTTGACGGTCTGCGATCCGCATTACCGCCGCGCGCGCCTTCACCTGGAGCGAGTACTGCGCGCGCACCTCGGCGGGCGCGGCTCTGTGATGGCGAGGCGCGGCCGGCGCGGGTGAGGGGAGGGGTGACGGCGTGTCGCCCGCGGCGGCGGAGGAGCAAGCGTCAGGGGCCTCGCCGGCCGCGCGCCGCCTCGCCGCCTCGTGCTGCAGCCGCGCTGCGGCGGCGAGGCCGAGGTCGATCTCCCTGCGGATGGCAAAGAGTAGTGGCTCGTTCACCTAAGTGCAGGCTCCGGGAAGGTCGCGCGAGGGGAGGGAAATCGTCTCCACATCTGTGCTGATCCGCACCTCTCGCAGCGTCCACCAGCTGGCCCCGGCCAGCTCCTGTTGCTCAAAGCCGGCGGCGCGGAGCACCGCCAGGCCGCCCGTGCACCGGCCGACACGACGCTCGAAAGCACCGCCTGTCGCTCTCAGCCTTCGGTACTCCAGCTTTGATGGCTGCTCCAGGACGTTTGTGAGTATGGTCCGCAGTGACTGAGCGCACGCGACTGCTTCGCTGGCTCTGGTTCGGCTCTCGGCGCTCTCTCCCGCACCGACGCCACTCCACAGAGCAGATGTGTGAGGGAGGTCGCCCATGTGTGAGTGGTGACGTCTCGGCCGCGTGTCTTGCTCGGCGCGTGGCTGCAGGGTTGACTTTTGGCTGGTGTGCGGGATGTCTTCCCGAGAGCGATGTGCCATGTGCTTGGGGTGTCTCCTACCATCAAAGATAGCTCAAAAATCTTCGCCGCCACCCTCGCCCCCCGCCGCCTAGCCGCTCGCTCGCCGTTCGCTCCGCCGCTCGCGCCAGACCTTCTACCTCCTCGTGATCCACCCGCCGCCACCCTCGCCTCGCCCTCCCGCCACCTAGCCGCTCGCTCGCTCCTATCCGTGCCACGCCTATCCGTGATCCTGCCGTTACCGCGCCGTCCTTGCTCCTCCCTGCCGTGCCGCTCCTTCCTCCCCGTGCCGCGCCGCCCTTGCCGTTTAGCCCGCCGCCCCCCCTGCCGTCCGTTACCGCCGTGCCGCCGTACCGCCCACGCCGCCGCCGCCCTCCACCCCCTCCACACCGCCGCCACCGCTGCTCACGCCGCCGCCGCCCTCCACCTCGCCCACGCCGCCGCTACCCTCCACCTTCTTCCCACCGCCGCCGCCGCCGCTCACGCCTCCGCCGCCTTCCATCTCGCCCACGCCTCCTCCGCCCTCCACCTCTCCCATGCCGCCCCCCCGCCCTCCACCTCGCCCACCCCTTTGCCACCACCCTCTCCTTCGCTCACCCCTTTGCCACCACCCTCTCCTTCGCCGCCCCTCGCCCCCACCGTTCTCCACCTCCACCCCTCACCCTCCCCCCGCCCTACCGAACCACCCGCCGCCCACCCATCCCGACATTCCGCCCTCCCGCCGCCCTCCCCCCTTTCTGCCCCTCCGCCTTCACCATCCCCCATCTGTGCATTCCACTCCGTTCGCTCCCTCCCGCTTGGCGCCCATCCCACCCTCCGCTCCGCCCTCGCCCTCCGCCCCTGCCCTAGGGCTTGGGCTGCTGCTGGGCTGGCGACGCGCAGTCGAGCCGCAAGCAAGCAGAGATACCATCCCTGCCGCCCCCGCCCCCGCCGCAACCGCCGCCCCCGGAAACCCGGACCCTGTCTATCGATTCGGGGTGAAGTTTTCGTCCTTTTCGACGGTGCTGAACCCACCCGACAAGGCGAAGCCGCTGCGTTGGTCCCCGTGCGACGAAATCATCGTGCTCACCCGACGACAAGGCGCGGGATGCGCCTCGGTGGGTGTGGAAATTTGGGTGTGCCAGAGCCCGTCAATCTGTTTCTGTAGGCGCGGACTCTGAGGTGGTGTGCATTGAAGGCCGCGGTGTCTCGGGGCCCGGGGCTGGTATCAGACGGCTGCAGCGCGGCCGCCAAAAGCTCAAGCTTATGTCCTGGGTCGCCGGTGGAGGCGGAGGGCCCGACGGAGATTTGGCAGCGGAGGAGATGACTGTGTAGGCCCGGGCTGAGGGCCAACGTAGCCTACTGCACCCTGGAGCTTATACTTGTACCTTAAAATGCTTACCCCTTGTGTATTAGAGCGCGTTAGAGACTGCGCGGAGCCGGAGCGCGGAGGGCGGAGGCGACGTGCGAGCGAGGTGATACAGCATACATACGCTTCACATCTAACACCACGGCCTTTATACAAATAAAGTGGGCCAAAAGAGCCCCACACCGGGAGACTGACAACTAAGTGGACGGCGCGCACACCAGAGATCACAGTCCACACACGCCTCATCCCTTGCAGCTAGCCTCACCCGACGCACTCCTCGACGCACTCCTCACACGGGCGCGCTGCCGCCCTCCCGCGGCGCCGCCTTTCTGGCAGCTCTGCCCTCCTCGCTCGGCCCGATCGCGTCGGCGAGGAAATCTGCGTACAGCTGCTCCTCGCCCTCGGCGTCGGCGTCTGCGAGGAGGAGGTCGGTGAGCTCGCCCACACCGCAGGCGCCGAGGGCGAGGCAGCGCTCGTCGAAGTGGCGCTGCATGAGCGGCACGTGCAGCCGGTTGATCCCCATCCACACGCCGAGCTCGGAGGAGAACGGGTCCTCGAGCTCTCTCGCAACCTCGTTGAGGCTGAAGAGGAAGCCGACGCCGAAGAAGGAGATGACGGCGCCGAGGGCGACGGAGGCGACCTTGTCAGCGACGATCACCGGCAGCAGCGCGAGGTTGACGTAGCAGGTCGCCTACGGGGTACATGCCGCGGACATGTCGTGGAACTGCCCCCGCCGGCGCGGGGTGGGGGGAGGGGGATTGCGGCAGCTCGCCGCGTTGAGCTGCGCGACGAGGATGGGGAAGGGCGTGTCGGCAACCTTGAGCGCCGAGAGGTACCAAAAGGTGCCATCCGAGAGGACCTGGTAGATGCGCGACACCACGGGCGGCTCCGCCTCGGAGAGGCCGCCTACAAGGACTTGCCGACGGCACGTCCCTGTGGACGCTTCTCGGAAAGGCCGCCTCCGCCTCGGAGAGGCCGCCGCTCTTTCGCCGGCGGACGAGCAGCCTCGTCAGCCAGCCAATCACCACGTGCACCCGCTCCGCCGAGGCGGCGAGCCGCGCGCGCTCGGCGGCGGTCACGCCTCCGAGCACGGCGATCGGATTGCGGGCGGAGAAGGCGGCGGCGGCTCTCTCGCGGCGAAGCGCGTCGCGGCCGCCGCAAAACAGGGCGCGGACGCCGCGGCGCTGCGGGCTGAGCGGCGCGGCATACGGGGAAAGAGTGCCGAGGGTGAGGTCGCCGCGCAGCGTGTGCAGCGCGACGGCGTGCAGTAGCGAGCAGAGGTGCGTCACGCAGCGCGCGAACGGCGCGCACTCGCGCTCCTGGCAGCCGGTCGCGTCGGGTAGCTCGTCAAAGGCGAGCGCCATCGAGAGGACATCGCACCACTTTGCGGCCATGTTCTGCGCAGCGGAGCGAGACTCCCAGTAGCGACCGAGCGACTGATTGAGCCGAAAGACGAGGCCGAAGCCCGAGGCGAGCAGGATGGCGTGGTATGAATAGGTGTGGACGAAGAGGAACTCCGCTGTGTCGGCAGTCCACTCCGGGTGCCCGTTTCCGCAAAACGAAGGCCACGAGTTGCAGGCGACCTGCGGGCAAATGCGCAGTGTTGTTGGCTGCGACAGTCATGGTCTGGCGCGGCGGAGGCACACGTCGGGCGACTCGCCTGGGTGTGCAGCGTCACTGTGTACCCTGCGGCAATCGCCGCCCACGGGAGTGCGCGCAGGAGGGCCGAGCTGCCCATGTGGCGCAGCAGGAGGATGATTGGGCCGCACGTGCCCTTGGAGTACCTGTGTGCCGGGCCGACATGCGGCGGGAGCGAAACGTGCGCGTCCATCGCGCTCAGCCTTCTGTGCCGTGCGGAATTGTGAACAGAATTGTGAACAATTGTGAACAGGTTGCGCCGCGGCCGGGGGCCCTCCGGAGGCCGAGGATGGCCTTGTTCTGTGTGCCGTGCGGAAGTGTGAACAGGTTCTGTGCGATTTCTCGAGGTTCTAGAGGTGGATATCCTTTGGCCGCGTTGGGTAGCGAGGATTGGTGTAACGCGAGCCACGGAGGCGTGTTTTCTGACGGCCGACCGTCAGTCAGTGCACGGAGTTGCCCCTTCTCCGACTGCCCCGGCTAGTTCCCGAGGTCGTCGGGTGTGACCCCTGCGCCCCCCGAGATCTAGCGCAGGTGGGTTGGAGGGGGGCTCGCTGCAGGGAAGGGCTGTGTAAGAAGCCGATCCCCGTAGTCCGCCCCGCTCCTCCCCATCGGGCCGCATGAGCGGCCACGCCTCGCAGATTCGTTTTCGCGCCTGGGTCAGGCGCGCGGGGCATCCCCCGATTTCGGGCCCGGGGTTGTGCGTTTATGTGAACAGGTTGGAGCAGCAGCTCCTGAGGCTGAGCACGGCGCCGCAGGCGCCTGTTGATAGGTCCAGGTGATAGCCCTGGATGGGCAATGCATACGCCTCACTGGGCCTTAGATCGCCCGACCGCGTCCCGGTGCTCTGTGGTCGGATTTGTGACGCCGCCGCACCGCGCCGCGTGCCACGTATCCTGGGACACATGATACGTGCGCACGTCGACGTCCACAACGAGCCGTCCGGGCGGCAAACTGGAATGCGCAGTTGCACGCGTGGCAGGCCGTGGGGCCTCACGAGGAACTCCGTCCCTCCCGCCCGTGAATAGAGCGCTTACGGCCAGGACACTCACAAAAAAAACTCGCCACCGAGGAGGAGGACTTGGAGTACCACTGCAGGAATCCCTGGGGTGTGGACGGGTTTTTTCGCGGTATCCGTGGCGGGATATGGCGGGATATGGCGGGATATGGCGGGATATGGCGGGATATGGCGGGATACCGGGAGATACCGGGAGATACCGGGAGATACCAGGAGATACGAGATCCGGGCAGATGATACGGGCAGATACGGGGAGATACGGGAAATTGTGAGGAGATACGGGGAGATACGGTCAGATATTGGAGAGATACATCAAGATACCGCAAAAAAACCGTCCGCACTAGGCTCACCACCCAAGACTGCTTTCAGACGCTTACGCCAATTTCCGCTCAACCTGCGCAAAGTGACCTGCGCAACTCGCGGACCCGAGGAGTCTGGAGCTTCAGCTGGCGAATCATGCCGCTCTCGGCACAGAAGCAGCGCGAGCGCCGCGCCGCGCAGCGCGCTGCCGAGGCTCAGGACGCGGCTCGCGGGCAGCGCAACCGCCCGGCGCCGAGCCAGTGCTAGGCCGCCTCCGCTGCGCCTGCTTCCTTGCGCGCCGCTAGAGTCGGCCGAGAAGACCGCTTCCCTCTGGGGACCCGACTCCGCGAAGATCGCGCGCGCGTCGTGAGTGGCGGCGCGCGCGCGATCTCCGTTCCCGGGCACGCCGGTCGCAGTGGCATGGGCTCCCAGGCTCAAAAGCAATCCCGTCAACAGCGAGCGAGCGCCGCCGCTGCTCCTCCTCCCGCCGCCGCTCACCGAGACTCGGTGCCGCCGTTCTCGCCGCCGCCGCCGCCGCCGCCGCCGCCGCCGCCGCCGCCGCCGCCGCCGCCGCCTCGCGCCTCGCCTCCGTCACCGCCGCCCTCCATCTCGCAGCGGCGCGTCCCTCTGATATGGCGCGGGCGCCTCGCTCACCGGCGCCTCGCCGCCGCCCCCCCCCTTCTCGCGCCGCTCCGCTCGTGGCCGCCGCCTCCCCTGTCAATCCCGCCGCCTCCCCTGTCATCCCGCCGCCCGCACCACCGCCGCCACCGCCTCGCGCCTCGCCGCCGCCGCCACCGACCGCGCTCGGCTCTGAGGGCCGAGTAGGAGGGGTCTAGGTTACCTCTACCTCTGAGGGCCTGCGGCCCTCTTACCTTTACCTCTGGGCAGCCGCGGGCCCTTTACCTCTACCTCTGAGCGACGTAGCCGTGATTTACCTGTGCGTGATATCTCCAGTGATCTCGAGTGATCTCGCAGAGCTATCTCTCGTATATTAATTTTTTGTTACATATTAGAAAAAAATAGAACGGCGTCCTCACCCTCGCCCTCCGACGCCTCACCCTCCGATGACTCGCCTGCTAACGCCTCGCCGCTCCCCGCAGCGGTGCCGGCGCCGGTCCGCCAACGGGAGAGGATGTCGTCAACCAATCCGCGATTGATGGCATGCTCTTTAGCCGACTGCTGTACATCGGTCGCCATGCCGAGTACCATCAGACGACCCTGCGCGTCGGCCGCCTCGCACGCAGCCTTGAGGCGACTCGCCTCTGGCACCGACGCGTCGTCGAGCGTCGCGACGAGCGGGGCGTCCAGACCGAAGGGGCGGAGCTGAGACTCGAGCTGCAGAAGTTTGTCTTGAGCAGAGCGATCGCCTCGCGTCGCCGGTGCTGCAGCGGCTCGACCTTCTCTCGCTCGGCGCGGTCGGCGTCACCCTCACCCAAAGCCTGGAGAGATGCGTCCACACGCGCTAGGAAAGACTCAAAGTCGACGAGCTTCGCTCTCAACTCGACGAGCTCGCGCATCTGCCGCCCATGCTCGGCCGACGGCACGCGAGGCGCACACGATACCTCTGGGAGCCGCAGGTACTCGGCCAGCGCCCGGGGCGTGGTCACCTTCGTCTCGTCGAGCGCCTCTGGCAGCACGCGTTTGAGGACGGCATTCCCCAAGTGGCACTGGAGGGCCTGGCTCAGCTTGAGAAGGTCCATGTCGCCTGGCGCGAGGAAGGAGTCGGCCGTGATCTCTTCTGCGAGAAGGAACTCCTACAACGTGAAAGTCGGAGCGGTGACTCGCGGTGGGGAGCGGCGGAGTGACGGAGAGGGGGAGGAAAGGAAGAGCTCTATTCAGGCGAACGGTGAACAAGTGCGGGTGAAATTGGGGCGGTGGGGAGCCGGGGGATCGCTCACATCGCCGGCATCGCGCAAAACCTCGGTGACGGCCTTGATCACGGCGGTTACTGCGGCCTGCTGCTTCTCCTGCGACTGCTGCGATGTGCGGGCAGCGAGATTGGCAAACATGCTCGGCCGCGCAGGCTCTGTCGCTTGTGCAGCTAGGTGCTGGGCCGCCGCCGCCGCCTCGTGGCGACACAACCGCTTCTGGGTCGACTTACGCACGAGGCGCGCACGCTGCCCGACGCGACCATCCTCGGTGTGCGCGCTCCCCCACACCCCGCCTCTCACGCCTCGGCCCATGCGTGTGCACCTTTGCCGCCCGAGTAGTCCCCTCCATCCTCCATCCCGACCGTACCCGCAGGTGCACCGCGTGTACAACTCGATGCTCGCAAAGGTGTCGGCGCGCTTCGCGCCCTGCGCAATGGCGCCAACGCGTCGCGTCGTACGTGCAGTACGATTGCGGCAAGTGCTCAGAGTGGGGGTGGCAACAGGGCACCTCCAAATTTGCGTGCTGCATGAAGCGTCCATGTGCGGCCAATGATCCCTCAGTGCCTCTTGCATCTTGTGGTCTCGTTGTGTAGATTACTCTCTTCTGCTCTGCACACGTTATCACGGTCTGAGCCCTGGTGTCGAGAGGGGGACCGACCCTCTCAGAGGCGGCGGGCGGGCGCCCACTGACCGAGAGATCAAAATCGCTCGGCCCGGGCGCGCACCCACACCGCCACACGCACACGCAGCGAGCCAAGCGGACGGGCACCAGAGCCGGCAAAACGACTAAAACGTGCCAAGCGGCGCATGCGCATGCGCACGACGCATGGCCACACCAGACCGACGGTAGACCGGACCGGCAAGCTCACGATGCCACACCAGACCGAAGAGAGGCTCGACACAGCGTCGCGTAGGAGTTGGGCGCACGCGGGCGGCGCGCGCGGGCGCGACGAGCGGACGCGGCCAGCGGCGGTCGCACGATGACGAGAGAGAGGAACGCCCCACGCAGGCGCGGAACGGCCATGCCGCGGCAGCGCGGCAGGCGATCCGTCATTTCCGCCGCCACGCCGCCGCCTCCGCGGCGCCCTCGCGATCAGTGCGGCTGGGGGTCGCGGTGTGCGACCAGCACCGGAGCGTCTAACTGCGGGCAGTGCGTCCGCGCCGCGGCGCGCAGCCACTCCGTGTCCTCGCGCTTTCCGCTACCAAATGCGCGAAATGGAGTGAACGGGATCAGGTCGACGTGCAGTTTGCGCAAGTTCGGGCCCAGCTGCGGCAGCGCCGGAACCAGGTCGTGCACGCGCAGTTTCGTGGTCGCACGGACGGAGAGCTCGTGCAGCGTGCCACCAACGGAGCCAATCAGCTCGGCGGCGCAGCGCCCCAGCGTGTTGGTACCCTCCCGCGGGTACGGCCCAGAATATCCCGCCGACGCGTGGACGATCTCCAGCTGCCGCAGTCCCGTGAGGTGCGCGCCGTGGCGGCGCTCTGGGTGGCGGCGTAGCGGCTCATCCGGCGAGTGCACGAGGGTTACGAAGGAGAGGCGGCGCAGCTCGCTGGCGTGGCGCGCCGCGACCGACTCGATGATTTTGTGCGCGAGAAGGCCGTCGTTCCGGAAGCGGATGACGAGGCCATCGCCCTCCTCCGCCGGGGGGAGCAGCCCCACTTCGTGGCTGACGCCGATGGTGAGCGCGCGCACGGGCGGCTGTGCTGCGCGGAAGTTGCGGCAGACGGTGCACCAGAGCAGGCCTCGGCGTCCTTCCAGCATGACGGCGATGCGGCTGACCGCCACGTCGGGGAGTTCCGCCCACGTCACCGATGATGGACACGTGCTGAGAATGGCGTCGTCGACGCTGGCGCGAGTGGCGGAGTCGCCCGTCGCGGCGGTGGCGAGAAGCGTGACCAGCTGTTCGTGGGACAGCATGGCGAGGCGCGTCGAGTAGCGCCCGCCGCAGGGCGCGGGTGGGTCCCACCTCGTTTTGAGTGCATGGCGCAGCACATCGCAGCTGCGCCGCAGGTCGTGGAGGGGTACTTCGGAGGACAGCACGTACTCCATGTCGAGACGATCAAGCCCTTCCCCCTGAAGCCTGAAGCCCATGGCTTGGACGATCTCGTGTGCACCGCGGAGCTCAAAGTTCTTTCCAAGGCTGCGGTTGCGCGCCTCGGCGTCTGCAAGGCCGCGTTGATCGGCAGCACGGATGATCTTTCTCACGCGCTGATAGACGTATTCCAGGACAGCGGTGGCATCATCCGCCTTGTCCTCCGCCTCATCCGCCTCATCCGCCTCATCCACCTCAAGGAAACTGATGCCCTGCGGCCAGCGGCGGAGAAGGCGCTCGAGCTCGGTCGACATGGACGGTGCTCTCTTTTGGAGGACGTGCGTCGTGCCCCCGGCCCGCGCCTACTTTTTGAGCCTACTGTACTTTTAGCTTACTGGGAGAAAAGAGACAGGGCGGTTGTCAACAGGGAGAAGTCGTAAAATCCTTTTTTGCACGACACTGGGCACGGGACTGGGGTTGTAAAATTCTTTTTTGATTCACAGGAGCCGGCGCGGTTCCCCTTTGGGGGGCTGATGTTTGAGTGCCAGGCGGCGAGGCCTCCCCAGACCCGCAGTGCGCAGAGCCAGTATTGCCTAGACAATAAATCTCTCTCGGGTGTCGGGTGCTCGGGTCGCGCACGCATGGACGTGCACGCGCGCGCACTGACCACTGTGGTCTGTGCTGGGGTGTGGGTTTGCGTCGTTCGTGCCTTAGTAAAAACACGAGAGACCGACCAGCTTAGGGGACCCCTAGGCTTAAAACGGTGGGCCCTGGGGCACCTGCGTCCTGCGGCTTAAACGGCTTAAAACCTGCCTACGTAGGCAGGTTTAAAAGCTGCTATACTGCTGCTGGGCCGCCGATTCCTTAAACGGTCTTAAATGCTTAAACGGTGCGGGAGAGAGCTCCCGAGGTCGATGGCGTCCGGGAGGCTCCTGGTAGACGCCGGAGGACGGGAAGCTGGCTACAGTCAGCTAGCACGCGTCCCCTATGCGAGTATGGCTCCTGCCAGTGCACCAGACTTACATATGTGTCTTCGGAGGCGGGTTTGTGCCTAATAACGGCAGTATTGGAGAAGGTAAGGTAAGGTACCTTGAAGGTAAGGTAAACTTCTCCACACACACGAGGTGGTGGGGCAAGGGGGGGCAACCCAGTATTGGAGAAAACGGCGCGGAACCCAGCGACGCATGCCGGCGAGGCCGATTTTCTTAGACGGTCTTAAAAGAGGGACCCCCCGTGCCTGCAATCTCTTAAATGGCAAGTTAAGCCCCCAAACTTCCTCATTTCTCAAAAGGTCTTAAAACAATCCGCGGCCCTCAGAACCCTAGGGGTACCCTAAGCCGACCAGGGGCTAGCCACAGGGTACTAGGCTTGCCAAGCGCCTCCCCCTGGGGCGGCAGGGCCCCCGCGCGCTGCGGCAACACCGCCTGCATTTTCTGCAGGTGGCTTCAGGGATGAGGAGCCGAGTCCGCCGAGTCCGAGTGCAAGCCCTTCTGTGAGACCAAGACGCAGGCCTGGGATGTCAAGTGCACCTGGGCGGGCTGCAACGGCTGCTCCGAGTGCGTCGCCGAGTCTGAGTGCAAGCCCTTCTGTGAGACCAAGACGCAGGCCTGGGATGTCAAGTGCACCTGGGCGGGCTGCAACGGCTGCTCCGAGTGCGGCGCCGAGTCTGAGTGCAAGCCCTTCTGTGAGACCAAGACGCAACCATGGTCAGTAAAGTGCTCATGGAACGGCTGCTCGGCCTGCGGGGACGTTTGCAATGCGTGCAAGCCGTTTTGTGAGGACAAAACACAGGCCTGGGATGACAAGTGCACCTGGGGGGGGTGCAACGGCTGCTCCGAGTGCGGCCCGTCGGCGCCGCCCCCCACACTGCCGCCTCCGACGCCACCACCGCCCTCTAAGCCACCCTCCACCCCCCCCTCTCAGCCACCCTCCACGCCACCCATCGTTCCGCCCTCCTCCTTCAGCCCCACCTTCAGCCCCACAGCGTCGCCGACGGCTTCGCCTACCGCCAGCCCCACAGCGTCGCCGACGGCCTCGCCTACTTTCAGCCCCACAGCGTCGCCCTCCACGCCACCCTCCAAGCCGCCCTCTGAGCTACCATCTACGCCACCCTCCACGCCAACCTTCGTTCCGCCCTCCACCCCGCCCACCACCCCACCCTCCGCACCGCCGTCTGTGCCTCCCTCCACGCCGCCTCCGTCCGTGTCGCACTCCCCAAGATGCTCGTGTGTCCGACACGGTCGTCACCAAGATGCTCGTGTGCGATTGCACTGCAAAGGAGAAGGCGGCGGGCATGGAGCTGGTCTGCTCCAAATTTGCTCAGGGCAGTCCCGAGTTTGGAGCGGTAGATCACGGCTGGGTCGCACACGGCAGGGGTGACGGGGCCGCTGTGGAGCGACGTGGTCAGGGGAACGACGAGACACAAATGGGACAAGCGCCAGCGGATCAAGGATCAGCACGGCGAGCGCGAGATTGATTTCGCCGATGTGGATGATCATAACGTGGTGACAAAGACCGTCATGGGAGCGCGGGTGCGGCAGCAGGCGGGGGTGCCACACGGAGCGCACCACGAGAGGATCATGCGGGGAGAGGCGGGGAGGGAGACCCCGGGCGCCGCCACAAGGAGCGAACTCAGGGGCTGCCTCGTCTGTAAGGCCGCGAGGGACGCGGCGAGGAGGGCAGCACTAAAGCGGGACCCGCTGTGTCCGATCGTGCGGAAAGCCGCGCAGCAATGGACCGAGGAAGATGAGAACCCGCCTAGAGCGACAATGGCGCACGTGCTTAGCGGCGCCTGCCTGGGGAATAGGGAGCAGGCCAGATGGTTCCTCAGAGTAGCGCGAGCGCAGACAGGGACGGCGATCAGCAAAGTGGCACAGGCGGCACCCGACTCCAAGGATACGCTGAAGACGCTGAGGATGGCGCATGTCGCTGCGCTGAAGGGCTCACGCTACAGGGTGCTGGATGAGGACGGGTACGATACACTAGCCCCCGCAGTCGGGGGGGTGTTGCCAGCACTGGTAGATGACCTCTCGGAGAAGAGCCGAAGGGACCTTGGCACCGGGGTCACGAGGAACTTGCAAGTCGTGGCCGAGGCGGCGACGGGAGCGGTGCAGAGGTGGATACAGCTCAATGATGAAGCAACGGCGCGCATAATGAAAAGAGAGGAACACATCGAGTGGCTGAGGAAGCTCTTCGCTGGGTGGAAGGAGGCCCGCCCGGCCTTGAGGGAGTCGCGGAGGAGGGGGGATAACGGAGGCAACGTGCAGACAGGCCAGCAGCCAGTGGGACGAACGAGGACCGCGACGGCAGCTCAAGCGGGAGGGAGCGGAGACAGTGGGCAGCGAGCGAAGTGGGTGAGACTGATGATGCTCCTTCGACTTAGGGAGCGGTTCCGCTGCTGGGCGAGCTTCAGGGTGGTGCTCACGCGAAAAGGAATCGACGCGATGTACAAAGCATGCAAGAAGAGGAGAAAGAAGAGGAGAGGCGCCAGTGATGACGAAACAGAAGCTAGTGCAGACGAGGGCAGGGCAGACCCGGGGACGGCGGAGGCGGACCAGACGGCATCGACCGCCGAGGGAACGTTGGGAAGAGGCACGAGGAGGGCGCTGGGCGGCAACCTCAACCGACTATGGAGGACAAGTCGCCAGACGACGCAGACCACACCCACAAAGAACCCTGCACAAAGACCGCAGGGCGGGGACCTGTTCCTTTTTACCCATCTCCTAGTAGAGGTGTCCGTTTTATTTATTTATTTAATTAATTAATCAACAGGTGCTAGCACACCATACATGGACATGGGCCATACAGTAGCCGCGCCGTACCAGGAGTAGTTGCTGCGCTGGCAGACATGTGGCTGAGTCTGATGTGCATGCGCTCAACATTTCTGCTCACTGCTTCACGCGCGACAATAGAGACTCCTTCCCGCTGTGGCGTTTGCGGGCGGAATGGCTGCGGGCGAGAGCGAGAGCGGCGAAGCCACCACCTAGCGTCGTCAGTTCTCGGCGCCGAGCAGCGCCCCGAACGCCGCAACCTCCCCCTCGACCGTGCGGCCGGGCCGGAAGCTGAGGTTGGCGGACACCCAGAGGCGGCCGTCGTCCACATCGACGACCACGCCCTCCGGCCACAGCGGCGACGCGCGGACGGCGGCGGCGGCGCTCAGCAGCCCGGTCACCTCGGCGAGCTCTGCCGCGACGCCGCTCCATCCAGATAGAAGGTCGCGTCCTCCGTCGTGAGCGCCCGCCGTCGCCGCGCCGCCTTTGAGCGCCGGCGGGGGTGGCAGCAGCAGCGCCTCGAGGTGGTGGAGGAGCGGCGCCGCGGGCCTCGCGTGGAGCACGCAGCGCAGCGTGGACGAGAAGGGCGGGGCCGAAGCACCCCCTTCTCCCGCGGCAGGGCTGCTCGCCCCTCCCCGTGCCGCCGCGAGGCAGGCGTGCACGCCGAGGGCCGCCTCACGGTCCTCCATCTCCTTGGGTCCGTCCGCCGCATCCTCCCCGGCGAACGTCGCCTCGAGAGCGTCCCAGAGCCGCGAGGCTGCCGCCCGCACCACGCCCGACCGCTCCTCGACCCGCGACACGGCGGCGGCGAGCGCGTCGAGCGGCGCCGCCGCCACGTCCAGCGCACACGCGAAGCGGCTCGAGTCCTCGGCCTTGTCCTTGTGCATGTGCAGGCAGCCGAGCAGCGCGCGCACGCCGGAGGCGCCCTCGCCAAGCTGTTCGAGCGAGCCTGCCAGCGACTCGAGCCCGCCGGCCAGGGAGAGGGCGCCAACGACGTGCGCTTTGCGGTGGCGGGGCGGCGGCAAGGTGGGCAAGGCGGTTGCAGCAGAGGAGGCGGCGGTGGGGGCGATGAGGGCGGCGGCGGAGGCGGCGGTGGTGGTGTTGGCCGCGGAATAAGAGGAGGCCGCAGCCTGTGCTGCCCTCCCAGGATCCTCGCTCAAGAGCCACGTCGCATCGACCCGCCAGGTTGGCGGGGCATAGAGGGTGCTGCCGAGCCGCAAGCCGAGCGCGGCGCCGCCGTGGCCGAGGCCGAGCCACTCTGCGAGGCGTCCGACAGGCAGGTGCGGGAAGGAGTGGTCGAGGACGTGGGTGAGGTTGGAGGTGTGCTTTTGGATGCGCTTCTCGGTGAATAGACCCGTTGCCTGCCGGACGAGGTAGGTCAGCAGCATGGACAGCGTGTTGAGGCCGCGGACATTCTCGAGCGCAATCTCTTTGAGCGAAATGTCGGCATGCGCCTCGCGCACGTGCAGAGCGGCCTTGCCTTCCGGCGTGACGAACACGTCGAAAAGCACTGAGATGCCTGTCTCTAGCATCTGAGCCGCAAAGTCGGCCTCAAAGTCGGCGTGCGGCCATGACTGCTGGGTGACCCGTACGCGGCCTGCGGCCGCAGCCTTCAGGCCGCCGATGGTGGCGAGGATGCCTCCTCCCTGTGCGCAGCGCAGGGTGAAGGCTGCAACGTCGCAGCCCGTCACGCCCAGCTGGTGGACACTGATGTCGAAGCTCCGCTCTACATGGACGGTGTTGGCATAGAAGTGGTGCAGCGGAGCCTCGCACACAGCATCGGCGACGATCGGGCGCAGGTGATGGGTGAGGCCGTCAAGTATCGAGTCTGCGATCCATAGCCTGCCGTCGGCGCTGGCGGAGAGGGAGCGGTGGACCGCGCTTGCTCCGCCAGCGGCCCTGGCGGAGAGGGCGCGGACCGCGCCCTCTCCGCTAGCGGCAGCCGATACGAAAACGGCCGAGAGCATGGCGGGGAGCGGCGATGCCGCACACCCAGCTGAAGGCAAGGTAGAAAGAAAGAAAGAATTCTTAAGATACAAGCCTCTCTCACAGCACACTGGCACGACAAGGGCGCAGACTGGCGCAAGAAAGAAAGAAAACACCACGTAAAGGAGGGATGGGATGCCAAATTAAAAAAGGGGTTTGAGAAAAATTCTTTTTTTGAGTTACCACATCGAGCGTGCCTCGATTTGCTCACAACTCGGCGATCGAACGAGGCGACCGGCATACAGCGTTGGCAAGGAGAGTTTTGGAGTTTCTTCTTTTTCCGGCTGTGCGCCTCTTTTGGTACCTGTGTCGAACCTGTGTGCTGTGCGAGAGAGTTGTCTCTTTGTTGAATTCTTTTTCTATTGACATCATCATCAAGACGTTCGAGTTACCACCACCACTCATCGGCCGCGCGGGGGTGAGGGGGGATTGCCTCTACACGCTCTAGTCACATCCGCCCCGTCCTCAATACTTTGGCAGCCAAGCGACGAGCACGCGCCGACGAACGAGGACGAGCAAAGCGACGAGCACGCCAGGCGTTGCGAGGCGTGCACGTGGCCGAGCCGGGCAGCCGGCGCGGGCACGGCGCGGCGCGCGTCGGCCGAGACCGCGACCCCAGGCGTGGGTGGGTCATGCCGGCGAAAGAGCGTGCCACGCCGCTTGACAGCGGCGAGAGCGCCGCGGCGAAGGGCGGCGCCAAGTTCACTTACGTTGCGGCAGACTTGATGAGCGGCGCGGCGGCACCGACCTTGATCATCTCGCAGCTCTCGTCGACGGCGCTGGCAAAGAAGGCCAAGCCGCACACGCTCGACGCCGTCGGACCCGTGAGCGCTCTCGTCGACCCCACGACGGGCAAGCCGCGCGGCGCTCGGTACGTGCAGAGCGACAGCGCGGGTATGGAGAGTGAGATGATGCCCATGTTTCTCGAGGATATTGTCCTCCCATCGCTGCCCGACCACGGCGCCGACACCAGCTCGCGCCTGAAGCGAAAGGCGACGCGCCTTGACCCGGACGACGTCGTGCTTTGCGACGGTCTCAAGCAGCACCATGGCCTGCAATGGATGCAGGCGTCGCACGCGAAGCGTGTGCGCACGTGCCTCCGCTACTCCCACGGTTCGCAGGACAACCAGCACGAGGACTTCGTGAACTTCGCCGACTTCCAGCCGGCCTTCGAGAAGGAGAAGCTTCTCCTGCGTGCCGACAAGATCAATGCCTTAGGCGAGGAGCCGAGCGCGCAGGCGCGGGTGGCCGCCGGCAAGCTCACGCACGTGGACGTGCTCCGGTGCGCAAAGTCGCCGTGGGAGCGGGCCTTCAGCCGCGAGAAGGTGGCGGAGGGGTGGGCTAAAGAGGGCGTCTTCCCCAAGTTCAACTGCGCGTTGTTCCACTCGCTCAAGGCGGCCGAGCGCCGGTCGTCGGTCGACAAGACTCGCCCGGCCGTGGAGCCTGACCGCCGCTGGCTGGCCGAGTTTGGGCTGACAGAGCCGGTGGTCCACTCGATGGCCTCGACCATCGCAGCCGACCCCGAGCTGCTGTCCGAGGAGGCGATAAATGCCGAGGTGGATAAACAGGTGGCGGCGCGGCGCGCGGGCGGGCCTGAGCCTCCCAAGCCGCCCGGCGTGACGGCAGGAAACGTGTGGAAGCTTCCCGGCTCTGCGTCCGGTGAGCTTGCGACACAGGTGCTCCGGGCGAAGACGATCCACGATCGGGTCGAGGCGCGGCTTGCCGAGCTGCGGCGGGGGGACAAGGCGTCGGAATCGGAGAACAAGAAGACCGCCGAGTTCGCGCTCGCCAAGGAGGCGCTCAACATCGCTGCGACGAAGCCGCTCTCTGCGCTGACGAACCCGCAGGCGACCGCGGTGCTGCGCTCGTGCGGCAAAGAGGGGAAGGGCAACAAGCCTGAGCTGCAGGCCGCCCTCGCAACCCTGCTCCGCGAGCTTACGCCCTCGGTGGGAAGCTCTGACGCCGGCCTGGACGCGGCGCGCGAGCTTGTGAGCGCGGCGGAGGCGCAACACCGCTTACTGACCGCGCCGCAGGCGCCGCCGCCGGAGCTCACGCCGGCACCAGAGGCCGCCCCTGCGCCGCCCGAGAGGCCGCGCCGCCACGCCCGCGCCACTTAGGTGGGCCCCTGGGGCCTAGTGATTGAGCCATGGGCAGTAGTCGGCCCTGTACAGTCGGTACTCGGCACTGTCCCTGTTTGTTACACTTTAGTCAGATTTGCGGTCGCCGCGTTCCGGGGGCACGATTTCGACTTTCTCGTGTTGACCACTGTGGGTGTGCCTGGCGCTCCTGGATCATGTCTCTCGGTGTCCTAGTACCCCCAGGCGATGGGTTTCACGGCCCCGTACCGCATGGGGCGCAAGGCCTCGCGCTGTGCGTGTGCTTAACCCGAAAAATTCTTTTCAAAAACGGGCCGCTCTCTGTCGTCGTCGTCGTCGTGCCCGCGCCGCTTTCAAATGTCGCGGGACCGGAACCACCGCGGCAACCGTCGCAAAAGGAGCCCGCCGGCGCGGGGCCAGTCGCAGGATCGCTCCAAGCGCGGGCCGGCGAGCGAGTGGGCCCGCTCGCCCGGCGGCTCCTCGGCTCGCGACGACTCGGCCGCGGCGGAGGAGCGGGCGGAGAACCACTACATGGTGCGGGTGGGCGACCGCTTCGACGGCGGCCAGCTCGAGGTCGTGCGCGAGCTCGGCAAGGGGACGTTTGGCCGCGTCGTCGAGATGAGCGAGCGTGGCAGCGGCGCGCTCTGTGCGGTCAAGGTGGTGCGCGCGGTGAGCAAGTACCGCGACGAGGCGCAGGTGGAGGCCGACATCCTGCGCGAGGTGCAGGCGCGGCTGCCTTCCGACAGCGCCGTCCCCATCTGCCGCCTCCACCGCACCTTTACCGAGCGAGGCCACTTTTGCATCGTGCTTGACCGGCTGGGCTCGCGCCTCTAGATCGGAAGAAGGAGACACTTGTCGTCTTCGGACGAGCACTCCAGAGGGCGCGAGTCCAACTGCACCCCGCTGTCTCCCGCTGCATTCGCTCGCCTCGCAGCCCTCGTACTCACGATCTGCTCCGAGCGCGGGAACCCGACTCTGGCGCTCCTCACAACGTCAGGCTCGTCTCTGTACGACGTGCTGCGCCGCCGCCGGAGGCAGCTCGAGGTGGGCGGCGGCCGCTCGGGCGTCGGCGCCTACTTTTCGCTGCCGCGCGTCGCAGCCATCGGCGCGGACTGCTTCCTCGCTCTGTCGCACCTGCACCGGCTCGGCCTCACGCACACACGGACCTCAAGCTGGAGGAGCGTGCCAGGAGCCTTCCAGGAACCTTCTAGGAACCTTCTCATAGGCACACGGACCTCAAGCTGGAGAACGTGCTCTTCGCCTCGACCGCCGAGCCGGCGAGATGCCGCCGCAGAGATGGCCGAGACACGGCGAGGGACGGCCGAGGGGTGGCCGAGAGACGGCCAGGGGTGGCCGAGCGATGGCGGAGGTATGGCCGAGAGATGGCCGAGGTGTGGCCGAGGTGTGGCCGAGGTGTGGCCGAGGTGTGGCCGAGGGATCGAGATGTGGCCGAGAGACGGCCGAGAGGCGGCCGAGAGGCGGCCGAGAGGCGGCCGAGAGGCGGCCGAGAGATGCCCGAGAGAACGAGAGAAAGCCGCCGCCTCCAGTGCCGAGCCGGCCAGGCGGTGAGTATTCCGACGGTACCAACCTCGAGAGGGTCTCGTCCTTCGCGGCTGCATCCCCCCCCGTCCCCGCCCTCAGCCGCCGGCCGTGCCTCTGCCCGCCAGGCGGGCGAGATGCCGACTGCATCCGCCGTCCGGCTCGTCGACTTTGGGGGCGCCACTTGGCGCGGCCTAGCCGAGATGCAGCCGAGATGCAGCCGCGGTCTAGCCGAGATGCAGCCGAGGCGCGGCCGAGGCGCGGCCGAGGTGCAGCCGAGGCGCGGCCGAGGCGCGGCCGAGGCGCGGCCGAGGCGCGGCCGAGGTGCAGCCGCGGTCTAGCCGAGATGCAGCCGCGGTCTAGCCGATATCTCTAGCCGGGCTCTAGAAGCATAGAAGCATGCCTCCCCACCGCCCCTCGTCGACGATCGGGGCCTCTCTTGCCGCGACGAGAGCTGGCCAGCTCTTTCAGGCTCGAATCGAGGCAGTGACGAGGAGAGTCTGATTCAGGCGCGACGAGCGGACGGGAGGCTCGATCGTGTGCACGCGGCAGTACCGCCCGCCCGAGGCACAATCTCGGGCTAGATCTCGGCCGCACCTCGGCTCCACCTCGGCCGCACCTCGGCCGCACCTCGGCCGCACCTCGGCTGCACCTCGGCCGCACCTCGGCCGCACCTCGGCCGCACCTCGGCTGCACCTCGGCTGCACCTCGGCTGCACCTCGGCCGCACTGCCCGAAGGTGACGCTCGGCTTGGGCTGGAGCCACGCGGTGGACGTGTGGAGCATGGGCTGCATCCTCGCCGAGCTGTGGACGGGCGAGCTGCTCTTCCGCACGCACGACGAGGCGCGAGATTGGCCGAGATTGGCCGAGGTTGGCCGAGGTTGGCCGAGAGGATTCCCGGGTAGCCGCTCTCTGGTGGAGCAATCGCGCTGATGACCCGAGATTCCCCGAGATTCCCCGAGATGACCCGAGATGACCCGAGATTGACCCCCTCCAGGTCGAGCACCTCGCGCTGATGGAGCGGCTGCTCGGCTCGCTGCCGCCGCTCGTGCCCCTAGATGCGGAGCAGATATCCACACCCCCCCGTGCCCCCCCTATCTCCCCTATGAGGCGCGACGCGCGTGTTCTAAATCGTGCTCGAGAGGACGCGTATTCAGCCGCGCAACACAGCCGTATTCAGCTGCATCTAAGCTGCTTTCACGCGGTGCTCGGCATACACGGCGCGAGACCGCGTTCCAGCCCTTGACTCTGGGCGCGCTCTCGACGCAGGCACATGCTCCGTGCCGCTGCCGACCGCTCGCGCTCGATGGAGAAGAACGTCCGGCACGGCGCGCTGCGCTGGCCTGACCGCGCACACGACCGGCGCTCCGCCGTATCTCCCCGTATCTCCCCATACCCTCCCCACATCTCCCCACATCTCCCCACATCTCCCCAGATCTCCCCAGATCTCCCCAGATCTCCCCAGACCTCGAGGCGCCTGTCCTTGAGTCTTACCTCAAGGAGGCCCGTCTGTGGTCAGGCGGTCGGAGGCGCACGTGCGGTCGCAGCCGCGCTTGCGCGACGTCCTCTTCGGCCCGCGGGAGGCGAGGCGGGGCGGCGGAGGGGAGGTCTCGCTAGACGGAGAGACTCTCTGGTCTCGCTAGACAAAGACTCAGACAGAGGCTCTCTATGTGTAGGACGAGCCGCCGGGCGGCGCGCGCGAGCTGCAGCGGCTGTACGAGCTGCTACTCGGCTGCCTCGAGTACGAGCAAGACCATGTCCGGGACACGTCCACGACATGTCCGAGACATGTCCACAGGCTGCCTCGAGTACGAGCCGGACCAGCGCCTCACAGCGGCGGACGCGCTCAAGCAGCCATTCCTCGCGCCGCACACGGCGCCGCTGCCGCCGCCGGCGTAACGGGAGGGGACGCGCACCTCGCCGCAGTCTGCTGGCAGGCCGCTGGCAGGCTGGTCGCCGATGCCGCAGCCGATGCCGCAGCCGGGACGACGGCGGGAGACGGCTCAACGGCGCCATGGCCGGTGGTCACGCAGGCAGCGCCCACTGCAGCTGCTCTAAACCGATACGGTAGAGCGCGCGCCCCCGTACCGCCTCAGCAGCTCCATGAGGTGTACGGCGTGTACTGGATCCTCGGAGAGCAAATTGTGAGCTCGTACGGTCGAACGGCTCTAGCTCGTGCAGGTGCCGACATGTGCATGTATGTACCCCGTGCAAACGCGTCAAGCCGAATAATACTTTATGATTATGTAAAAACATTTACGATTGTTAAAAGTAAAACGAGAGTGGCATATTTTGATTTTTTCTGCGCGCAGGGTGGCAACGTTTTTTGATTAATACATTAATTAAAAGAAATTTTGGAGACGACGTTGCACGCTTTTTTGTCGACCTGTCATGTGCCCACGCCCATGACAGGCTGCTATGAGAGTGCACAATCGATTTCCCGTCCGCCAAAAAAATTGCGGTTTTGCCCGCCAAAAGAGAGCCAATTCTTGACTTGGGCCCTGCGGGCGGCCTTCTCTCGAGGTCTCGAGATATACTCCGGCACGCCGAAAGTGGAGCTAAAAAGTCGTCCTTGACTTCTCAGCGCCCTGACGGCCCGCCGATGGCAGACCCGACTCCCTCCATCCGCATGGCGCCGCCCGATGGTGCCGGTAACCCTATTCCGGAGCGGTTTCTCCTAGGGTTAGCGCCGAAAAAGCCGGCTCCCTTAGCTCCGGCTAGGGCTAAGGGGCCTCCGAAGCCGACCCGAGGAAGGGCCGACTTAGCCCGCGAACGGGCAGAACGGGCTGTCCTCGCATACTCCGGCACGCCGAAAGTGGAGCTAAAAAGTCGTCCTTGACTTCTCAGCGCCCTGACGGCCCGCCGATGGCAGACCCGACTCCCTCCATCCGCATGGCGCCGCCCGATGGTGCCGGTAACCCTATTCCGGAGCGGTTTCTCCTAGGGTTAGCGCCGAAAAAGCCGGCTCCCTTAGCTCCGGCTAGGGCTAAGGGGCCTCCGAAGCCGACCCGAGGAAGGGCCGACTTAAGGGTTAGTATAGCGGGCCGATAAGGCTGCCCACACCCGCGAGGATGGCTGTGTGTTTGCCTCCCCGACTCGGACGGCCGCCTCAGAGGGCGGGAGTGCTTCCTATCGCCCTCTCACCCGCGGGTGATGGCCGAGTCCACGGAGCCGCACGCTGCCTCTCCTTCGACGCAAGGCTCCGACTTCTATAGAGAAAACCCCATCTGCACCAGCGTTTTAAAGTGAAATCGTCAAGAGAAATCGATGCCCCGGGCTGGGCTTTGGGGTAGGCAGCCACCTTTTTGAAGGTGAGGCGTATCTGCCGACCTGTGAAGACGCTTTACTTGCGAGCAGTGCGAGGACCAGATGGCGCGAGGGCACCGCAACATGGCTAAGGAGGCAGGGAAGCTTCTGCTCCAAGACGGCCGCTCAGGACCGCAAAATGGTGTTCCTGAAGGTTGTGTCAGTCGGGCTGGCCAGTCCCCGGGGCCTGACGGTCCAATGTTTCCCTCAAGAGTACTTCTCCCCTACCCCACCCTTCCACTTTAGATGTGTCGGACCATACACAAAGCGGCCAAATTGCGGTTGACGGCTCATCGTACGTAACCGATCCGCGCTGGATGGCTCGCGCCGGCTCGATCAGCTTCACGCGCGTCTCGGCGACCAACTTGCCCAGGCGGACACGCGATCGGATAGCGACCCCTACGTGCGCTGGTCTCTCGGAAAAGAGACCCTCGCCGAGACAAACTTCCTCCGTAATGTGCTGGGAAGGCGTGGCCGCACGCAGACGTCCACGCAGAACCCAGCGTGGGACTCAGAGTACCTTGCTAATTTACCACATGGAGTCGGCGCCAGCATGACGCTGACTGTCAGCGTGTGGGACTCTGATCGCGGCCAGGACGACCCACTTGGCTCTGCAACCTTTGAGCTTCAATTGGAAAACGGGGTGCGCACAATGACGCTTCCGCTCGAGCACGTGCCCGGTGGACGCGAGTCAACAGTCACATTCACGTCGAGAGTCGAGCTGCCGCTCCGCCCGTCGCCCGAGCCCGAAGCCGAGGCCGTGACCGAGGCCGTGACCGCTGGCCCAGTCACGAGGAAGGAGATCCGAATGATGAGCCCTGAAGAGCAACAGCGGTATGCGGCGGCTGTCAAGAAGATGATGGAGAACACGAGCGGGCCGGAGAGCTCCGAATTCTTCCGCCTGGCGGGATACCACGGCTGGCCCGGCAACGGCGCCGAGCGAAACTACAGCTACTGCGAGCACCGTCAGGAGACCTTCCCGGGCTGGCACCGCGCGTACTTGATAGCCTTTGAGCAGTCGCTGCGCGATGCCGATCGCGCGCTGGGCAACGACGGACACATCGGTCTGCCGTATTGGGACGTCCTTGCGCGGCCCGAGCTCAACGGCCAGGTCTCGTTCAAACCTTACTATTGCCCCCGCAGTGTGTTTGTCGACCTCCCTGTTTGTCGACCTCGCCATGAAATCGCGCGCCTCCGCCTTGTTTCCAACAGGTCGTCCCGTCCATTGTCAAGGAGCACTTTGGCAACGGGACCGCCGTGCCGCGCGCTCTCCTCGACGAGAGCTTACCGCCAGGCGGCGCGGCGCATCAGCGCAAGCGGCTCTGGGATGAGGGGTACGCCATCGCCGACGACGCGGATCTAAAGAGGACGATCGAGAGCCAACGCCTCCCCGAAAAGATTGGCGACGCGCTCTGGATTCGCCAGCACTACCGCGCGGCCTCGACGTACGGCACCTCCAGCCGAGATTCCGTGGAGACGCCGCATGACCTCATCCATGTGCTCAGCGGCTTCCCGATGAAGTCCCTGATGCACGCCGCATTTCACCCTCTCTTCTGGCTGCACCACTGCAACATCGATCGGCTGTATGAGGCGTACCTGGAGAACAACCCAGATTCCCAACGCGAATTTGAAGCCAATCAGGAGCGCTCGCGATTTGTAAACCGGCGCAAGGGAACTCACGACAGATACGATGAGTGGCTCAAACCCTTCTACTTGCCGGGCGGCGCCCGCGGGAACAGGAAGTTCTATCCGCGACACACGTTTGACATTGCGCGCTACGGCGACTACGTGTACGACGCGCTGCACCTGCGCCCAGCCCAAGCCATGACGGAACGGCCCGTGTACGCGGTCTTTGAGGACGTCGACATCAACGCGCTGCCGTGCTCATACACGCTCCACGCATTCATCTACCCTACCGGCGCCGAGGCGACGACGCCACCGCTCGGCCCCACCATTGCGAGTATTATGGACGACCCCAACTATGCGGGGCTGGGCGGCGTCTTCGCGGGTAAGGCTGATGTCTGTACGAACTGCCAAAACTCGGATCCGTTTGACGTGCGTATCGACGTGTCGGCGCGGCTGAAGGCCCTCGGCCTCTCCGCGGCAGATGCGGTGGTAAAGGTGGTCGCCGTCGACGAGGAGGAGGAATACATGGCCGTCGGCAATCCCACCACCCGTGCTCAAGGGTGGAGGGCCGTCCTTCGCGCCGTCGAACGACTTTGAGGACGAGGACCATGAGGTCGATGACACGCCCACTTTCCCGCCCGGCTCGACGGTGACGTATGCGGTGGAGGAGGCGCCCGGCTACCTGAACCGGGGAATGCTGCTTAACGAGGTCGCCCAGTGCTTTGCAGCGTGGGCTGGTCCTACTGCGAGTGGGCTCGAGTTTGAGCGGCTGCCCGCGGAGCGCGCCGACGACGCGCAGCTCGTTATCGGCTGGGCCGACCACTCCAAGGTCAACCAGAAGAAGTTTGACGGACCCGGCGGCCACCTCGCAGAGGCGAACGCTTCGAGCATCGTGTTTGACTCGGCGGAGCGATGGCTGCTGCACGGTGTGGGCTGGGAGAAGCTCGCTCGCTCCGAGGAGCCCAAGGGTGCGCCACCCAGCTTCTACCTTGCGCCCGTCCTCCTGCACGAGATCGGCCACACTCTCGGGCTCACGCACTCTCACACTCCGACCGAGGTGATGGCGCCGCATTACGCAGCTGACAAGGTCAGTCTGGCGCCTGGCGACAAGTCGCGCGCCCGCCTAGCATACAGCGTGCCCGAACCCGACGAAAGCAATCTAACACCACCACGTGCTCCAGCGGCAGCGCCCGCGCCGCCCGCGCCGCCTGCGCCGCCTGCGCCGCCTGCGCCGGCAAAGAGCGGCGCTTGCACCCTGCTCTGAGCGGAGCCGGCGCTTCCGGCTTGAAAGAAAGAACGCAGATCACTTTGTGTGATGTGTGGAGAAATTTACCTTACCAAAACCTACCTTACTTTACCTTTTTGTGTATTCATGTTCTATGTAAAAAATCGTCCACCATCGAGCCGGCGAGGCCCGGCGTAGGCTAGGAAGCCCGCTCGCTGTTAGGACGCGCCCCTTACTCCCGCGAGAGCGCTGGCCGCGCCGCTCGCAGCCCATCCCAGGTCGATCCCGGCGACGACGAGGTCGAAACCCTCGTCGGCCATGCGGCGCGCGGTGGCGGGGTCGGCGCAAAAGATGGCCGCCTGCCGTCCGTGTGCGTGAGCGAGGCGGAGAGCGTGGCGCACCGCCTCCAGCACCTCTCCCTCGGGCGAGTCGGTCGGGTCGTGGCCGAGCGCAAGGCCCTGTGCGCAAGGGAGCAGGCGGAGGCAGGTCTCCGCGAGCCCGGTGCCGCGCCGGTGGCGGTGCCGCTGCTGGCGGTGGCGGTGCCGTGGGCGGTGGCGGTGGCGGTGGCGGTGTGGCGGTGTGCTCGGGAGTGGCGCAGAGTGGTCCTGTCCCGACCCGTGGGGCGCTCTAGCTCGGGGTGATACTGGTTCTGTCCCGAACACTGGGGCGCTCTCCCCCCTCATAGGGCGCTCTCGCTCGGGAGCCGACGTCCGCCGCGCACCAAGTCGTTAGGACCGATGAATATCTCCCCATATCTCCCCATATCTCGCACCAAGTCGTTAGGCCCGACGAAGATGCCGCTGAGCCCGTCCACGCTCAGGATCGCGTCCAGGTCCTCGAGCGCGCCTGCAGCAAGGCTCCAGGAACGGTCGCTTCCGGCGAGGAGCAGCCAGGGAGCCGCCGAGAGGCAATGCAATGCGAGACGCATGTGCTGCATCTCGAGGTGGCGAGATATGGGGAGATATGGGGAGATATGGGGAGACTCCTGTGCTGCATCTCGGTGCGTGCGCGGCCAGGATCGCAGCTCTAGGACCGCGGCCAGTACGATGCGGCGTTGGAAGGCCATGGGGAGGCTCGGCTACTCCGCCGCGCCTCGTGTCTCAAGCATCGCAAAACTCTGCACGCACGTGTTCGACGCCCGAGTCCAGTCGCCCCGGCTGCCCTCCCACCCCAGCGCTGCGCGGTGTGGGCCGTACGACCGGTGCCCGGCGGGTGGGAATTTGGTCGCTCGCACAAAGGCCTCGCACTCCTCCACCGAGTTGATCATCGGGCAGATGAGGGCGGCGGCGCCGGCGTCGAGCGCCTTGGCGATCGCGCCGTCGGAGAGCTCTTCGATGCGGACGACGGCGAGCGGCGCGTTACCTGCCGCGTCGCGCGCGGCGTCGATCGCCTGCAGCAGCGGCACCACCTCGCCGGTGCCGTGCTGCTGGTCCACCACGACGGCGTCAAAGCCTTGCCGTGCGATGACCTCGGTGTACAGCGGTGAGCCGCCGACGATCCAGGCGGCGATCTTGGCGCGCGCGCCGGACGGCGCGACCTGCTGCTGTCCTGCGGCGAGATAAGCGCGGGTGGCCGGCGGGAGGTGGCGGAGCGCAGCTCGAGGTCGTCGGCACAGGAGTGCCTGCATCGCTGTGTTACGACCGGCAGTGCGCCTTTGCAGCGAGCAGCTCGGAAAAGAATTCACGATTGATGCTTTTTTTGTTTTTTCATGCCTGTTGAGTATATGAGCGACCCACCTCGAGGGTTGCTCCCGACTCTGGCCTTTTCGGGTCACGTAGCCACACCTCGCCTCCTTGGTGCGAGTGGCTGCCAGTTCGACTCTGGGGAGGATCGAACCATTAACAACGCCCCTCCAAACGCGCACCCCCATAAAACGCCGCACAACCTGCTTCCTGGATGCATCCGGCGCAGCATGTGGTGCGGGGAGAGGCCCATCCATGTGCTCAAGCTCGCCGCCAGTCATCGGGCTCGTCGACTTGGTCGCGAGCCAGCGCTCGATCGCCGTCCGCTCGTAAGCATGCCCGTCCGCCGCCATCACCGGGTCGCTCATTATCTCGGTTGTGATTGCTGATCGGGCAGATGAAGTCAGCCGGTGGCTCCTCCTCCTCCACCGAAAGCAGCCCCTCTGCAGCCAAAGAGGACGGCACTTGCTCGTCGGGCTCCCGCCTCTCCTCCTCCAGCCTCGCGCTCTCCTCGAGCGCCGCCGCCAGCGCTGCCTCATCCTCGGGTTCCCGCGACGCCGACGGCCCAGCGCCGCCCCCGCCACCCTTTCTAGACCTTCCCCTTCTTCTTCTTCTTCCCCTTCTTGCTCTCCTTGCTCTCCTTCTCCGCCTCCTCCTCCGCCAGCAGCGCCTCGGCATGCCGCGCCGCCTCCGCCTCTGCCGCCGCACTCACCACCTCCCTCGCCACTGCCTGCGCTGCCGCGTGCTCCTCGAGGGCGCGCACACACTCGCTGTGGCCCCTCTCTTCGGCCATCTGCAGCGCCGTCCTGCCGCCCGCATTGTACGCCGTCGTATCGGCGCCCGCTCGCAGCAGGCGAAGCACGGTTGTGAAGTGGCCGTTGGCGGCGGCGGCCATCAGCGCGGTGACGCCATTGCTGTTCTGCAAGTTGACCTCCACGCCGCGCTGCAGCAGGATCTCGACCATCCGGCCACGTCCCTCCAGCGTGACTACCGCGCCACGCCCATGCCGCCACGCGCATCGGCCTCCCAAACGCCACTGCGTGAGAATTTGCCGTGTGCAGTACGTGTACCCTCTTGACCGTGTCCGTTGACCCAACCTCCCGAGGCGGCCGCGTCGGAGCTCGCAGAGGAGGAGGCGGCGCGCGAGGCGGGCAGCCCGGAGGATGAGGCGGTGCCGGAGGAGGTGAGGACGCTGCTCGGCGATCGGGAGACGCTGACGAACGCGCTGACCCAGGCGATCCGCCTCCGCCCTGGTAGCCCCTCGCCGACTCTCCGGCACCCTGACGTCGCCGCTTGCCGCTTCCTCTCATGACCGAGCCGCCGCCGCGCTGCCGATCCACCCCGCTCCTCCCAACAGGCCCACGACACACGGGTGGCGCAGCTCGACGCGAGGGAGGACGAGGCGCGCGCGAGGGAAGTTGCGGCGCTCAAGGTCGCCCGACGCGCCTCTGTATTTTGCTCCCATCTCGCTCGCCACTGAGCCTCTCTCGCCTCGCCACACTCGCTCCAGGGAACCATCGAGCGGCTGCAAGCCGATGAGTACGGCCGCAATCGCGGCGCGGTGGTCGAGATCTGGAATTTGGTGCACGTGGAGCACAAGAATGAGCTGCTCGAGTTGGGCGCATCTGCGCATGCGGAGGTTGCATGAAATTCTTTTTTGATTGTCCTTTGTAGTGCCAGTCCCGTACCCGCTGTCGTGCGAGGGAGAGTTTGCTGGAGAGAGAGAGAGAGATTTTTAGCAATACCAAACCACTCTAACACATGGTTAATAAAAATCTCTCTCTCTCAACACTCACAGTTGTTTGTTTTGCTGGTAAAAATTCTTTTTCACAGGTGTACCAGGCCCCACAAATGACGTACGTGAGAGAGAGAGAGAGAGAGATTTTTAGCAATACCAAACAACTCTTAACACTCACGTGTGAGTGTTAGAGTTGTTTGTGTACCTGTGTGTTAGTTAGTGCCGGCACAGAGCTCCGTGCAAGCCTTCCAGCGTGATAGGAACGAGTGTATCGCTTTGACGGATCGACCGTGCTTGTTATCCACATCGATGTGACGCACACAGTGACACTTCAGACGACACACATTCTCCCACCCGCCGGGACGCAAAACGCTCTCGACGAGAGCCACAAGAAGGCGGCCACACAGCAAGCCGCTCGGTCGATCACGTTGCTCGCTCGATGCCGGCGAGCGCATGGCGCACGCCTTGGACGGTGGCGAAGCCAAAAACACCGGCAGTGGCCGTCCGCTGGCGTGAGCGGCGGCGGTCGAGACCTCACCCTTCGCGCCGACGACCCAACCTCACGCGGACAACCCAACCCAACCACAACCCAACCCAACACGAAACAACCCAACTCAAAGCACGATTCTCAAGTTGGGCCCTCAGTCAGTCAGTGCGCGCCAGTCCCGTGGCCAGTGTTGTGCGAGGCATTGGGGGAAGTACATGGGAAGTCAGAAATTGAAAAAAACCTTACTCGCTCAACGCGGCCAACAACGCAACCAAAGGATACCAGATAAACCTACAGCGCTAGGCCCCGCCGAATTTGCGAGACAGCTTGCACGTCGAAGCCGCATTTGCGAGACAGCGTGGCTCGCAGCGTGCCCGCTGTCGAGATCATGCAGCGCATATTCTCTACCTCCGTTGAGCAGTCGAAGAGGGGCCTTTCGCACGTCAGGTCCTATCGCCCAAAAGTTCCGTCCGTGCGTGTGCTGCCGGTCGCATCGACTGCGGCGCAGTCTCGCAGGCTCGCTGGGCGGCTGAGCGATCTGGCGACGGCGTTGAGAACTGAAGACGCCGAGGGAGGTTCGGTCAACCTGTATGGCGTAGCAGTTCTCCACGCCGTCGTGTCTCGCAAGCGGTCAGCGCAGTGCTTGTGGTCGACTGTGCCGCTGGCGTTTGCGCTGCTGCAGATCTTCGCACTGCACTCGATCGCGTTTGGCAGCGCTTGGACAAAGTGCGTCTACGACCAAGACTGTGCCCTCGGGACGGCGTGCATCCGAGTCAACGAGCGGTCGCCGCAGTACTTTTGCGCCGACTGCGCCAACATCGTCGGCGACGGCGACCAAGAGTGGAGTCTGTCCCCCGTGGAGACGGCGTTGGGGTTCGACACGCACTGGAACCGGACGACGTACGAGTTCACTCCGGCGCTCACCGGCGACCTCTACCCAATCGCAGCCAGCGCGTACGAGTGGTGCCAAAACTTCGTCGACGCCTCGCGTACTCCCTTCGTCAGCGCCTGGCTCTCAGTCCAGAGCCAAGACTTCTCGCACTGCCTTCACGTGCAGGAGGCTCTCCATAAGTTTGGCGCCCTCGACTTTGTGGTCGTCGTCACCGGGTTCGTACTCGTCTGCCTCGCGATCGCTGCCGACCGTCAGCAGCAGCTTCTCAACCGGCACCTGCGCGTCCTGCTCCTCCCTCCGCCGTGGCGCTCTCTGCGTGCGCTCTCCTTCGTCGTGCTCGAGATGTCGCTCGAAGCGCTGCTGCCGAGCGTCAGCCTCGCCATGGTGCTGCTCATCATTCAGGGGGGCGTGGACGCGACGGGCGTGCTCTTGAATGGCGTCGCGGTATGCTTCGTCCTCACGATCGACGACGAGGTGCCACACGTACTTCTCTCCGCCGCCGACAAGCTCGCGATTGACAACTTTGCCACCGCGGCCGGCGACCGCAACACCCTCGTTAACATCAAGCGGAAGTCTCTTTGCCACGCTGCGACGGCGCTGGTGCTATTGTTTCTCATGTTCTTTGTCTGCCAGCGCGCCACCTGCGACAACCTGGTCCTCGCCTGCTTCGGCCTCTGCTGCCTCACGCCGCTGTGCACGCGCCTCGCCGAGGAGATGGTCGGCCTCCCCTACACGCTCGGCCTCTCCCGCGCCAACCGGAGCGAGGCGATGCGACGCACCGCGTCCTCGGCGAGCGGCGAGGTGGGTGGCGCCGAGGAGCCTCGCATCCCGCGCACGGTCTCCTCGCTCCGAGCGTCGATCCGCCACCGCGCGGCAGCGACGGTACGGATCTGTTCGGGCCGCGCCGGGCTGGCGGCGCTGCACGCCACTCGTTGCCTGCTCGAGGGCATGTCCACAACGTGTGTGCTGCTGCTGTTTGGGCGCCTCGCCATCAGCCTCTATATGTGGGACATGCCCTTCATCCACCAGTACGTGTGGGACGAGTGAGCTGAGCGCGCGGGCTCATATACATCTGTCATGACATCTGTTCTTCATTCATTCTCACCACCACGGTTGCGAAATGTATTTCAAAATCTTCTATCATATCTTCCTGCCGGGCGAACCACCTCAGGCTCAGCAAAAGTCACGTGTCACGAATGTATCCTGTGTTGTGCGCGGGGTTTATAATATTTTTTGGCAAACAGCGTCTGACCGCCGTAATAAAAAAGGAGGCGACTCAAACGGCCTCTCGCCCTTTGCGGCGCCGCCTTCGGCATGGCGACTCCTCCGTCGCCCGGTCGGCCACCGCCTCCGCCGAGCGAGGCAGCCGACACATCGCGCAATCCGTTTGCAAGCTGGCGCACGCGAAAGGATACACCGACTTGGAGCCGGCGTGCGAGAATTTCTGGCCTACGTCGCCGCCTGACCCTCCGCCGAGCCCGTCGCCTCCGGCCCCTCCGCCACCCCCCTCGCCGCCACCCTTGCCGCCGCTGCTGCCGCAACCTCCGGGCTTGCCGCCTCTGCCGTCGGCCCCGCCGCTCCAGCCGCCCCTGTTCGGCATTGCCCCACATGATACGCTACCGGGCGGGTTCTACGTCCCCGCAGCCGCGCTGGCCGGCACCCTCCTCACCACGGCCCTCGCGCTCTCCCTGCTGCGCGGCCACGCCAAGCCCTCCCTCCTCACGGCGGGGGCCTGCGTTGTCACCGCCTCGCTCCAACTCGTCGCCGACTCGTTGCTCGCGGCAGAGGCGTGGACCCGCTCCACCGACCCCATCTACGACCCCGAGACGAACGCCCTGATCGACGGCGCGGCGCCCGAACGTGGCGGTCCAGGCGCGTACCCGCTTCCAGCCTTGGCTCCTCGCCACATGCCACGCCCCTCGCCGGATGGGGATCGTCATCACCACTCCACGCCCACGCAGCCCAGCCCCGCACGCTGCCCCGCCGACAGGGCGTGGGCCATCACCGCTCTCCTCAGTCCTCACCCTCGTCCTCGCCTCCTCCGCCGCCCTCGCCGCCGCCGCCGCCGCCGCCCTCCGCCGCCTCCGGCGCGGCGGCGGCGCGGCCATCCAACCCCCAGCTCCGAGACCGAGTTGACAACAAACTCGCTATCGCTGCCTTCGCCGCCGATGCGCCTGCGCCTCGATGATGGCGCACAGCTGCGCTGGCGAGAGGCCCGCGACGCGCGCGCCGATGCGGTGGGAGGCCATAACACACTTAGATAGATAGATCGCGCGCATTTTTCTTTTTTGACAGAGGGCCCGACTTTTGTTTGTGTCCCGCCTCGCGCGGGCCCGGTCACGGCACGGTTGCAGCCGCATCATGCCGGCGAGCGACCTCGACCTCGACGACGACGACGATTACGGTCCCTCTGGCAGCAACGCCGCCGCTCCTCCCAGCAACGGCGCCTCAGCACAGCCGAGTGGAGCCGTGCGTGTGCAAGGCACGCAGCGCATCCCCGGCCCCGTGGGCGCCCTTCTGAGTGCGCCCACCGCGCTACCACACGGCGGCGCTCCGCCCGAGCAACTTCCACGGCGAGGCTTCCGCAAGACGGCCGCCCTCCTCCACCTCGAGTCTCTCTTTCCGCGCCCGACGCCACCGCCGTTCGTGGAACGCTGGCCGCCGCCAGACAGGCACGCGGTACCGGAGCTGTGGTCGCTGGCCGAGGTGCGCAGCGCCGCGTGCTCGCTCTCTTCGCTCAAGGGGGCCAAGCCGGTGGTGGTCCCCAACACGCTCCTCGTCCTGGTGAGCTCTCTCTGACGCCGCCTCTCCCGACGGCACAAGACACGGCACAAGAGAGGAGAGAGACACGGCACCCCTTCTCCGGCACCCTTCTCCCGCGCCCTTCAGGTGCGCTCCATCTCGCGTGACTCCGTCCCCGCTGAGGCCGCCGGCATCCTCCTCGCCGACGAGTCTGGGGAGATGAACGGCTCGCTCCACCCCTCGGCACTGAGCGACAACCCCGGCGCGCCCCGCCCGCTCCGATCTGCTCCTCCTGTCTTCGATCTACCTGTCATGAACTGGTCGATATCTCGCAGCGTGTCTCTTATCGCCACCGTGCGTTGTTCCCAGCACTTGACATCGTTCATCCGCTCCGTCGCCGCAC